GGGTTCAGTACCAAATTGAGCTAATTTATAACTGAAAAGAAATGCAAATTCAAAAACTTAATTCCCGTTTCCACACTTCACACCCCATTTATTGCCATATCCAGCAATTACTATGATTTCCTATAAATGTGAACCCGAAACTCACAATTCACTTGCACGTAGCTCAAGTTCATCATTTCAACTATGACAGCATTATACTTCTACTTAAAAGATTCGCCAATCAAACAATTATATAATGCCTCATTATAAATTAAAGGGACCTGCTCATTTGATTCTTAAAAAAGAGGAATTACAGAGCAAATAGAGAAAAACAGAAACAGAGAGAAGGATGGTAAATTTTGAGTATGCTAATTACCCCTGTCGATGAAATTAATTGGGAACCAAACCCAAATCGATCCAATCTAATCACAAAATTAATCTTAGAAATGATGAGATTTTGATTCGACCACTGGGTCGATTAATACGAGATGGAGGAGACCCAACCCGTGATTGTAACTTCAAAACTGCTTCCGTTAGCTGAGGAGTTTCTTCTTCGGATCTGAGAGTTTTGGGAAGGAGTGAAGGGAAACCCTATAGTTAGATGAAACTGGCGAGAGTGAGTGGAAAGAGTGCTGTTTTTTGGTATGGAATTGTAGAGTGGGAATAGGAGATGGTGGTGGTGTGGAGATCCTGTGGTTTATGCGGCGGTATCGTGGTCGATTTTGGAGGAGAAGCCGTCAGCTCCATAGGGTGGAAGAAGTCGCCTTTTTCGCCCTCAGGTCTAAGGAATAATTTTTCCCCTCAGGTCTAAGGAATAATTTTTCCCCGTGCGCAAACGGGGAAACCCGGTTCCCCCGTCCTGTTTGGCTTGTGCAACGACATAAGGACCACAATGCATAACATAGGAGTTACATTTTTCCTTATCCACTTGTAAACATATTTTCATATCCTAAAATAATATGATTTAGTAAACATTTTTACACACAATGCCGCCACAGCGAACGTTATTTATATAATTCACGAAATACCACCACAGCGAACGTTATTTATATAATTCACGAAATTCCACCACAGTTAATACACTAACAGTACTATCAAAAAAAATCAGCCCGTGCATTTGCACGGGCAAAGACTAGTCTCAGAAAAGAGTTGAAAGAGTTATTATGAAATAAGCAAAAACGATTCTAGTAGCTATGGTTTAAGAAAGTAGGAAATGGAAACTCAAAGTTAGTAAAGAACGGTATTATCGAACTGGCCATTTGCCAATAGTAAGTTTCTAATATTGATTATGAAAGAAGAAAACTTCTTGCCCATGTTAGGTGGGAATTAAAATAAAATAAAAAATTAGTGGATTTTGATAAAGTTGATGAAATGTGTGGTTTGAAAGTTGTCGATTCCATTAAATATGTGGTTAAAATTAATTGTTAACTATAATTAAAATTAAAATCTAGATTTTATTTATAATCCTTGTGTTGTTGAAGAGAGAGGACCAATTCTCGAAAGTTCATGTTACAAAGTGCTTAAGACGTATATTTTATCAAGCATTCACCTGGGTGAAAGATTTCTACTCTCACTTCTATAGATTGCCTTGTCAATGTAAATTGTTGTTCACTTTTTAATTCATCGAAAAATGGATCCGCCTATTGAATATCAAGATACAATTTGTTAGTATCTTGTTACACTCTTTCAATGGATGACTTAAATATTCACAAGATATATGTTTCTTTATCCTTATTTACACTAGTCATGGACAACATTACTTGGCCGCTGGGCAATTCATCCCAATTGACGGTTTCTATTAAAAAATCAATTACAAGGGCGTGAAAAGATAAAATTTCCCTTGAACTAAATAAACAAAAAGGAAGATAATTAAAATAATAATAAAAAAAGAAGATAAAATAAAAAAATTCATTAACTTCTTCAAAAATATTGCAGCTGTGGATTTTGGGAATGGAATTAGGTGTGGATTGGGGATGCGCAATGTTTGTTGTCGACCCCAAAAAATGTGTCAACAGATGTCGAGTCCACTCACGCCAAGTCAAGCACTATTCCGAGATGTAGAGTAAAGGTCGTAACAAGGAGGAAATGGACATGGAAGGTACTTTGAGGCGAGACACAAAAATGTTCAGACTCTGATGGGTGAAACAAAGGCGATCGCGCTAACAACGATCACTGGACGGAAACCAAACTAATATATGTAGTAACAAACAAGAATATGTGGAAGGATAGATGAAATGCGTATATAAGTTGTTGTCTTGTATGTTGAGATTTGTAGCTCATAAACATGTAAAGAAGATAGAAAATAAGCAAAATGTTTGTATATTTCACTCAAAAGTTCAAATGTATTTCGAGTTTCAATTGTCAATTTTCCAACGAATCCCCTTTCAGTTATAAAGAGAATCCATTTATACAATCTTGGCCGACATGGTGATCGTTGGATCAGAACCACGTGGCCTCATCTCCCTAATTAAGGCTTCACATCACTGTCTATTCATACAATTAATACATTGAAAATGGGTCAGCCGCCCTATACAATAGGCTGACACATTGACAAATTTTATAACAAGTGTTACATCAATCACTTCTAAGAGATCTTAAGATCTATTACAAGAGACAGCATCAGCTTCATGAGCTTTGGACGAGTTTGAAAACCTCGAAGTGATCTTTGAGGTAGTTCTCTAAGTGAAAGTTTCATCTCTTTTCTTTGTTTCATTATGCAGTATTTCAACCTAAGTTGTAGTGCTTCGTCCTTGAGGCAGTGCCTCAGTATGGATTTCAGGCTTACAGTGCAGGACTTTGATTTTGTTTGATTTCTTCATATTTTGAACTCATGGGTCTTTGTTTGACTTTCTTGTTGACTTTATGCCCACGTGTCACTTTTACTTTGAGCCTCGGAGGTGAGGTGTAACAATAGCCCTCCAAGCCTAGACATCATTATTTATGTAATGCATGGACTTGAATGTAAAATAAAAATTTTGTAGAGGGGTGGTTTTTACCACACCACAACAATAGTCCCCCAAGTCTAAGTATAATCATTCATGTTATAGTTAGAATTTAAAATATACCTGACTTGTACAGAACCTCTGCGAGTGTTGTCCGAAGTGATTTACTTAGTAATATTTCACATTTTGGAACAATTCTGGGAAGGGTTACTGAAGTAGAGTAATTCCGAAATTGTATTTTCCGAAGTGCCTTTACATATCCGAAGCACTAGCTGAACTGGTTGAAGTGAAGAGGGTCAGACCCTCATAGGGCTTTAAAGTTGGAAGTTACAAGGTGCTTCATTTTAATAAATTTGAGAAACATGAGGCGTCCTTAATTATGGTGTCCAAATGATTTGCTATCGTGGCATGTTTCCAAGAAAAGACAGCCGAGGCAATTCGGCTTCCAATACAAGCAATCGTCGCCACATTTAATGCGCAATGATGGTTGTCCCCCACGTACTTTGTGAATTTCAGGTGTATGAGGGCACGTGTGTCAGACGTTTTAATCTGGGTCGCAGAAGACGAAGCGTCACACGTGCTGAGTGGCTCAAATTTAAACTTTCAAATGGACGGTCAACTGACCCAGACCAAGATTCAACGGCTGGAATTAAGGGGATCTGCCTATAAAAGGCATAAACCCTTGAGAAAATCTCTTTACTTTTGCATCCTTCCTTCTCAAATTTTACAAATCTTCAAGTTTTTCTTTCGAAAATTCTTCAAAGTGTTCTTCTTGGAGTTTTTTTTTTCTTTCTTCTTGTTGCTTTCGCGAATTTCATTATTCCTTCTTCTTCGTCATCTTAAGAAACTCGTAAGTATCGTAATTTTTTAAATTGTAAAAGTTTTGAACTAGCTTGTAAATCAATGGCCTCTTCAACATCTACTGGGAAACACAGACCTTAGCGAGACAGCTAGTGAAATGGGAGTACAAATAACCAACACAACTGACCTCGTCAGAGCTATTGAGGCTAGACGAGGTGCCTCAATTTCTGGGGAAGGGGGGTAGGAGAGATGGTGATATAGCCAAGGGGGCAGCCAAAATCCCTTCTTCCGTAGATCCTACCACCTCGCAAACTTTAGGGATAAGCCCTTCAGCTAATAAATAAGCCTATTGTCCCAGGCGTGCGTCGCTATTAGCGAGGTTATGTTGAAGGCTGGGCTTCACCTGCCGATCCACCTATTTTTCTGAGCTATCCTCAGGCTATACGGGTTGGC